TAAACCCCAAGGCTCTACATGAAATATTAAAGCCTCTGGCATACTGGGTCAGGTACAGCAGGTCAACAAAGGACTTGGTTACTTAATGTCTAGGTATTAGGCAGAAATATTTTCCAATTTTTCAAACCCATTCTCTGCCACCCAGGAGAGAGACACGTAAAGTAACGGAAATTTCCTCCTAGCCTGATGAGCTGGCTCAAGCCAAAGTTACATGGAAATGAGTTTCTCCATCCTTCATATCTTTGCCAATTACCTTAGAATGATGAAAAATCTTACCAAGGCAAGAATTCTTTCTATACCCAGGATCAGTGCCAAAACAATATTTGTGCTTGTACATTATTTATTTCACAGATAATGAGTTTGTTTTCCTAGTTCCTCATTTCCAAGTTCTTTGAGGATGACAGCAATTGCAGTGGAAACAGGGACACCTGTGTGTGATCACCCTGGAGGACCACCAGCAGTCAGGGTGAGAGCAGCAATAAACAGGAACTGGGTTTCCATTGTGTCAAGCCCTGCGTTAAGCCCTTTAAGAGGCTCGCCTATTAGGTGGGTATTATGAGTCTCCCTGTTTTTATAAAGACTGAGGCTTATAAATGTTAAATAACTCACCACAAGTCACATAACCAGTCACTGAACTGGGACTCTAATGCAGTCTCATGTCAGCCTCTGCTCTTAAGCCAATCCACAGTGATGGAGGCATTCATTCATTCATTCATTCATTCATTCAATAAATCTTCATCAAGGCGATGGTCGATGAAGTGCTATGTACTGTTCCAGGCTCTGGGATTCAGCTCTGATTGAAAAAGCAAGAAGTCCCAGGCCTCATGGAGCTTCACTTGCTTTGGGGGCACACAGGCAATCAACAAGCACAATATACAGACCATTATGTGAGGGGTGATAAGTCTAGAGAGAAAAAAAGGAAGGGATATAGAGGGAGGGGGAGGAAAGAAATAAAACAACATTTCTGGAAGGCCTCAAGGAGAAGGTGGCATTTGAGAAAAGGCTGAAGGAGGTGAGGGAGTCAGCCAGGAGGAGATACCTGGGGGAACAGCATTCGAAGCAGAAGGAACAGCATGGGAAAAGGTTCTGGGTCAGCACAGGGCTTCAGAACCCACTGTAAGGCCTTTACTCTAAACTGAACAGGAAGGCATTGGGTGGGGTGAGCAGCCAGGAAGACAAATTAGGTGATTGCGCTACGATGGGAAGAAGGTGGTGGGGCACTGAACCAGAAGGGCAGTGGTGGGTGGCATGAGGGTTGTTTGGATTCCAGATATATTTCCAAGGTAGAGTCCGAACGGTCCCCTGATGGACCAGCTGTGGGGGTGAGAGATAAGGGAAGGAGAGCTTGCTTGACTTTTCCCAGGACAACTAAAATACTGAGATCTCTAGCGACTAAGATAAGCAGGAGAAGAAGGTTTGGATGTCACAATCAAGGGTGTCGACGAGTTAGACTTGAGTTTGTTAGACATCAGGTGGGAACGTGGGCTAGACAGGAGAAGAGGTCCTTGGTAGACAAGAACACAGAATGTTATTTAAAGGCCAGCAACAGAGGGATTGTGATAAATAAAGTGAACAGGTCTGAGGCTTGCATGGTGGGTAAGCCACGGCAATTACTCATTGGGAAATTCTCTCTGTTGTAAAGAAAGAAACCAAGTGTGGACAGTTAAGCGAGACCATCTAAGCCATACAGGTTATGAGGAGCAAATTGCCTGACTCGCCACTTCTCTAAGAATGATGTGTTAGTGCCTTTTATGGATTAGCCAGATAATTGTAGACAGCTGCTCCCCTTCTCCCTCAAAGTCCCTCAAATAGTAACAGGGACATTCCTGAACAAACATTTCCTCCAGGGCACTGCCGGAGACCTGCAAGAACGATGGAGACCAAGCTGGAGAATGAATATACGGAGACCTTTGAGTGAGATGAGTTGAATCTCATTTAGCTTTCTGACGTTTACTAAAAAAAGTTAAATCTATACGTATTTGACTGCTTAATCACTTAAACTGCTTAGAATCTCAGTTAAGGGTGACCACCTACCTGTGGCCCATTTGAATGGGATTGTCTTAGAATGTTTCCTGTCTCACTGAAAAATCACTTCAATGTATGTAAGTGCACATGATTTGTAAAAACTTCATCTAGCGAAAACATCTAGAGCTGCACTAACGTTTATACCTCTGGACACTTCTAAACAGAAAAAGAAAGAAATCAGTAATGTCTGTATCCTTCCACCAAGCCTAGCTTATCTTTAATTATGTCAAAGAAATGACACAATCAGAATCGATGTGGATGCTTTCACTGCATTTTCACAGACTTTACCCACAACATCACTCAATAGTTTTCACTGTACAGATTAGGAAACTGAGAGAGGTCAAGGGTCACAGAGCTGAGTAATGGAGGCAGAATTTGTTCTCTTTCCCCTAACTGAAGGAGCATTCCTTGGCACAACAGCTGCTTACCATAAAATGTTGTTTTCTTGTTTAATTATAAACCCTCCCAAATGTGGTTCTAACTCACAGACACTTGTCTGGATCCCATTAATAAAACCCCTTTGTCATATTAGCTCCTCAAGAGGCTTATGAATTGCAAAGTCATGCAGTCACACTGTGGTCCGATCCGGATTTCAACGTGCACTTCCTGAGTGCCCACTCCGTACCACCATCACCCCTTGAGACTAACACATGCGGCGTGCTGTTCTAGGCTGTCTGTCTAGACATTAACATTTCTTTCTGTGGATGGAGGGTCCCTATGCCCTTTCCCTGGAGCATTCTTCCCCATTACTGGTAGCCTGCATTAAAACTTGAGTTCGCACTGTTTCCTGCCAACTATGTAATCAGCCTCCTCAGTTAAAATAAATAAACTTTATCATAGGAGCACTTTTTTAAAAAATTAAAGGGTGACTAAACCAACGTTACCAAGTAAGACCAGATTTCATTGATTATATTTTTGAACTTTTTCTTCCGTGAGCCGTAGCCAGCACTCCACAGATACTCTAAAACCTGAGTGTTAACACAAAATAAATCCTGAGACAGTATCCTGCTGCTTGACATCCAAAATACTGTAAAATATCAAATGAATGCAAATGAAACTCTATTTCCTCCCTTCTGCTTTATCTGTCTATAAACACTGGCACACACATAGGACTATATTGTGTCAGTTGAATAATACAGGAAAATAATGTCAATTACCATAAGCTAGAAAGTTATGGTAACTAGTCTTTCAAATAAATCACCATGTGTCACAATTTGGCATAACCACAATCCTTACGAATAATTCACATTTTGTGCATTAATAATGCATGTATTCTTCCTATTGGAATGCTCCCTAACACAGAATGAATCTCTTATCAATTTGCTCAAGTGATGTGATGGAGAATATCGGAAATTAGAATGGAGTTTTTTAATGTGCCCCTTAACATTGTAACACTTGGCTGGCCCATACGGTTATCAAAAATATAAAGTTCCTATTATTTCTTGCCCTTTGCATGGGAGTCACTAAAGTAAGTACCCCCCAGTAAGAGCTGCCCCTGCTGGTGAGAATGTTTGCATAGTAGAAAAGAAAAATCAGGGAAACTTCTTCTGCAGGGCTGAAAGAGATCGGTTCGTTTCTGTTACATTTCTCCCTAATACTGTAATTATATATTCACAACAACACTGGGCGTAATTGCTCAAATGTGATAACCAGCAGGGGAAAAGAGCAAGGAAAGGACCAAAATAGATCAGGCAAGAGCGCTTAACAATTACAGATGCTCCATCACCAGGCTTTCCTCCTTAGCTGTTTACCCACTGGGAAATTTCCTTTCAGTTCTCAGTAAAATTATCTGGCACGTAAAAGAGTCCAACGACTAAATAAGAGAAAGGTGCCAATGACATATATTTGTAGAGGAAGATGCTGAATTTCTCATTATAACGCTACTCTTAGTGTGGTCATTCCACGTCACTACTGACATAACTGTTCTTTCAGTTTTAGTTTACCATTTTTTTATTATTATTTTAGTTTTAGTTTACATGACGGAAGTAAGCTTTCCTCCCCAGCAAGGCCGGCGTCTAAACGCAGACAATAAACAAAACTCGCAACAAGGCTTGACACAAGACAAAGAGAAATGAGGTGGCCTGAAATTTAAAAAATCATTTCAGGCTCCTCTCCCGCCCTCAAGAATTCCTTTACCGCACTCAAGAGAAGCCGAATGAGTTCTCTGAAGTCCCATCAATGAAGAGGAAAGGAAAAGGGGAAAAGGGAAGGTGTCTTAAGAGAGGGGCCAGCTCTATGCCACTATCTGTCCCCTACCAACACCCGCAGATGCATTCGTTCTTCCTTGCAGTACACATTTAGGGAGCACTTACTCTGCGCCATGTATTATGTTCCACCCTAAATAATCTTCCAGCGGCTTCCGATGTGTCCTCCGGCCACACAAATCCACCACCCAGGCTAAGGACGAGGGAAGATTCAGATTCGGGGATCCAGCCCAAGTTGGCCTGGCCAGAGGCCAAACCCACCCCGCCTTTGCCAACACCTGGGGCAGACGCGGGTCGCTGTCCTGCCCCGGAGTCGGAGGAACCCTTTCTCTTGGCAGAACTGTCTCCTTGGGGACAGAAGGTCGCAGACCTCGTCCACACCGGGGGCGCCCGCCCTCTCTCTCAGCCAACCGATGCATCCCCTGGAAAAGTTAACTTGGCAGCGAGTGGGCCGAGCGGCACCGGGGGCACCCGGCGGGCGCAGCACCCGGCCCGGGTTTCTCGGCTCGAACTCCCATGGCTACCGGGAAATATTTACTTCCAGTAGATGGGCTACTGTGGCCGGACGCGCGGCCACCCTCCGAAAGCCAAGTCACCCGCGAGATAAAGATAGACCCGTTACATACCTAGACCTGGGCTCGGGGCGGCCGCCCCGGGGGTGGGATTGGGGCGGAGGACGCCGCCTCCGAGCCGCCCTCCACCCTCCAGGGATGCCGGCTGAGGATGAAGACAACTGACCCGGCGAACGGGGGAAAAGGGATCGGTCCTTACCCCGAGGCGTCTGCTCCGGATCCTCACGTACCCTTGCTTCACTATGTCATTGAAATTGGAAGCCATCCCGGAGAGCCGGTGACCCCCGGCTCCCGCACGCACGCACCCCGAGTGGCTCTGGGGCGGGCTGAGGGCAGGGGCCGGAGACGGTGCGGGGGGTTGGGTCCAAAGGGCCGAGCGCTCGGGCGGCAGCTCTGCGTGGCTTCAGAGCGCGCACATCGCTTGCGCTGCGCCCCGAAGCCTGGGAGCGCGCGGCCGGCGCGCAGCCACTTCGGGGGAGCGCGGGGAGCGCGGCGCGGCGGGGCTGAGCGCGGCGTCAGCTGACTCACCGGCCTGCCCGCCGGGAGGAGGAGCGGCGGCTGCTCGGGGAGCCAGGCCTGCCCCTTCCCGGGGAGCAGGGGGAGCAGGGGGAGGAGCCGGCGGGGCCCGGGGGTGGCCCCCCGCAGGCACACGCCCCGGACGCGCGTTCCCCCGGGCGGCTCGCCCCGCCGCCTCCCGCCCGCGCCACCCGGCCGCCCGGCGGGCCGACGCGCTCTCCTCTCCCCCCGCGGCTTATTGCAGGAAAGGAAATTTCACTTTTTCCCAGCCGCCGCCTACCCCGCCTCTCCCGTCAGCTCCAGCTCTTCCCTAAAAGGGCTGATTGTTACCTCTCGTGCGTGTCTGGATAGGTGGTGTGGCCGCGGTTTGCCCTGACCTTGGCAAATGAGGGGAGGGGTTTTGCCACGGCTTAAGCATGCTGGGTGCTTCCTCACGTTTCCTTGGCATCCTGGTCCCCGCCCTGGGTAATATCATTCGGCCCATTTTCCTTGTTTGAGCCTGTCTTTTGTGTCCGCATGTAAGTTTCCCAGGGGTTAACCCTTGGCTTGGCCTCATTACTATGTGTACCCCCAAAGCCTAGGCCAGAGCAGGTGCTGGATAGGTTCTTAGTGCCAGGCACCTCTCCAAGCCCTTTGCATGTACTCGTGCAAATGAAGAGATTTGCCCCAGGTCCCAAGGGGCAAGGATAGAAGGGATGCGTGGGTGGCACCAGCTCAGCTGGTCAACACCATCCTCTGTCCCTTCTGAAGAGCAGAGGTCTGGGGGGGGGACGGCTTATTAGCTGGTTTCCAAAGAAGACCTTTCTAAGCATTTGCACTAAAAGACAGCGTCAGAAACTGGCCAATTCTTGTTCACGTGTGACGGAAGCAAGACTGGATGGCCTGTAGTCAGAGCTGTTGAGAAGAGGATTCATTTATTTAGTGAAGTGTTTGACTTGATGGCATTTGAAGGAGTCCTTTCTCATCGGGAACGGTAGCTTGTAGTTACTTTGGTTTGACGGGTGTCAATTAAAGACGATTCATCACCCAAGAATGTGTCAAAGGATGACGGCAACTGGATTGGGACAATCACAAGCAAATATTCTGACAGGGAGAACCCTTTTGGCTATATACTAAACCATTAACTCTGTCATCATGTTGCCATTTGATGTAAGCGAAGTTTTAAGTTTAAATCTGTCACCAAAATAGGACGAAATTATGAAATCATAGTTTTAAAGAGTTAGAACTTAAAAAAAGCAAAAAACACTCACGGTTGCCATGAAACAGATGCATTGATGGAAGGCGTTTGTCCAACACTCGTTTGTAGACCAAATCCACAGTATCATAGAAACAAAAACTAAAGGAAGTTAGGCACAGGGACCTTGAAATGAATGGCTCAGGATAACGAAAATTATTACTGACAAAACCTGAGACTGAGAAATCCAACCCTTAATAATTGATGTTGAGTATAACCAACATCCAGAAATAATTAAGCTAGAAGTCAGGAAACTAGAATTAAACTAGAAAATACCTAACTGGATGTGAATAAATAAGTGATTCTTTTTTAATTGCAGAACTGAATCCAGTATGTGCTTTTGTTTGTTTGCTTTTGGTGAAGACAAACTGATACACATACAAAATACATAGGCGAGGCGATGATCAGGATGGACAGCCACTAACACTCATCCCAAATACACAACCATGCAGAAGGGAAAGGAGTAATTCATAGAGATACACAATGTAAGGAGTATTTACAGAATTGCACAGTGCACAACTTAGGCTACTGTACACTGCCAAACAGACAGCCACACACAATTCAGTTTCACTGGAGATGTATGTAACACAAAAAGAAATCATTACGTCAATTTCTGTTTTTCACTCAATTTTCAACACCTATAACTTCTAATTTGTAGTACCCATTTCTGTTTGCTTCCTCAGAATCCAAACTCCCTTCCTCCAAGTATACTTTATCTCCTGAGTATAACTTTACCCTCCGCATACATACCTCTGCTGTCTTGCCAATGGGTTTCAGCCCCGGGCAAGTTCGCTATGGATTCAGTGTGACCAAAGAAATGACAGTAGAATGTTCTTGGGGTGGAAGGGTTATACCCAACTTTATTTCCTCAGTGGCAGATCAATCACTAAAATCCCATTCACTCAGAGTGAGTCTGCATGCAGAAAGCTGGTCTCTGCCTCTGGGCCCCTCTGCCTGCACAGATGTCTCATTCTCTGTCCTTAGGGCTGCCACCACTCCAGCCTCTGCTCTGCCCTCCTGCAGCCTTGCAGCTGTGCCATCATGTCGCCCAGAGCGCTGGGCAGGGCTCCTTATAGAGAGTCAATAACAATGCGTTGCCCACACATGTGTAGTGAGCTAGCCAATCAGGACCAGGTGAGAATCCTGGCCACAGGAACCTTCATTTTATACACATATGCAGACTTGTATATTGCCTTTCTTCAGATGCACTGATTGGTTCAGACACAGGTACGTGTGCTAAACTGGTAGACTGCAAGTTGGCTGTATTACAATTAAATGAGCATGAGTTCAAAATGGAATATGCATAGTAGTACTCTTCTATTTGGACATATTGTTGATATGAAACTAAATATGTGATACTTTGAAACAGAACTTTATAACCATAGCATTGCAGAGCCAGTAATTAATCCAAAGGTTGACCAGTCCAATATATTCAAATCAGAAATTCACTCTAACTTGAAACATGAATGGCTCCTGCTGTTCCCTCTACATTCCATTCAGCCAATTACTATTATTGTTGTTGTTATTTAGTTCTTCAGGACAGAAAATCATGGGCAGAAATCTAGAGGCTTCTGCACTTGTCCAGAGCAGGTGATGAGCTCCCAAGCTTTGCCACAGAAGGCTGTACTTTCACCAAGTACCACAAAGTACCAAGGCAGAGGCTGATGTGGCACTTGTCCAATATCTTTACCAAAAATAACTTGAGCTTTGGCCCCACTGCCTGCTGCTCTCAGTGGGAGAGTCACAGAAACGTATGCAGCCTTTCCTGGGGTAAAGTGAGGCGGCGCTAATGAAAATGATTTGACTCTCACCAGGGAGAGAGGCTGTTCGCTCTGCAGCCAGGTCTCCCTGTGCCAGTCCTTCCCCACCAAAAGGATGACTTGGACGGGAACACGGAAATCAGGTGGGAGGGAACCTGGGAACAGGCCTGCTTCGGTCACTCACTGTTTCCTAGCTTCCTTCCTACATTCAACAAATATTGCTTGAGCACCTGCTACGGACAGAGGTTATTCACAGTAAGCTTTCTCACACGCAAACACACACACACACACACACAGTCCCTGCACCTGTGGAGCTCATACTCCACGAAAGAAAAAATAAACAAGTGCATAAACAATTTAGGCAGCTGCAGATGGAGGAGAAGAGAAAATGAGAGGTGTACTTCGTGGGGAGTAGAGAGGAGAGAGTCTGGGAAGACTTCTCGGAAAGGGGACATTTCAGCTAAGACAGAAAAGATGAGAAGAAGCTCTGTGAGCGGGGAAGCGTATTCCAGCTCGAGGGAAGAGTGCTTGAGAAAGCCTGGTGGCTGCCAAGGGTTATATTTGAAAAATATGATTCCATCTGATGAATAAAAAAATTGATGAGAAGGGACTGGATTGGACATGGCGAGACCATTTTTTAAAACGTCTCTTAAAGACCTTTGAACAATCATTCAGAAAAAGAGAAGTGAAGTTTTGGATGACACTACAAATTTGTATGGATTGATACAACTTCTTTGGAGAAGAAGTGATAAAATCTATTACAAAATTTTAAACTGTTATAAGCATCTATCCTTGGCCCTCAACAGAACCAATTCTGGAAATGTATCCAAAGGCACAAATATCTAGTTAAAAAAATATTCAATGCAGTGTTGTTTATGATAAAGTGTATATTTCTCTTAATACAATATACATACCTAAATGTATTTATCTTAATATATATATATACATCTAAACATATTTTTTTCACTTGGAAGTGTGCACATACACATAACCAAATTTCTAAGCATACAGGAATCAACTGGATGCAATCATTCCCCATTAAAATTTGCTGATTGAACAGTTCTTTCTCTAAACCTTAATGAAATCTCCATAAGGTACCTGGCCTTTGGGCTACTGCTGGGTAATGAAGAGCCCACTTCACCCATATAACCCCAAACATCATCCAATTTAGGGTTTATCCCCTGCCCCAGTTCAGGCCTGGGAAGGCAGTGGGAGTGCAGATGGCTTTGTTCTTATTTTCTGCTCTGCCTTGTCTTTCACATAGTAAGCACAGGCTTGGCTTCTGAGCTGCCCCTTAATTGGAGCCCAGGGGAAAGGAGAGGCCAGGACACAGCAAAGTGTTGCTTGCTCCAAGGTTTGCCTGGGAGCTGATGCCTCAGGGCAGCAGGTGTTTAAACATTCGCTCTTTCTCCCTGGGAGCTTCTGTGAGTTCATTAGACATGCCCCTGCTGAAGCTGCACCCTCCGTTCCCCTGCAGGATGGCTACACTTTACCCCCATGCATGCCCCGAACACAGTGCTCCAGGCCTCTGTTGGTTTCCCCTTGCCGCTCCTGGTGGTCCTGTTGGTGAACCTACACCAAGCCAAACCCTGCCTATTCCCTGTGTGTGTAACTGGCCTGAGGACAAACCCAGTGTCCCCGCATCAAGAACACTCACCTCACCCCAGGGAGCCACTGCTCTTTGCTCTGCCACCGGACAAGGCAGCGAGTCGACCCCAGGCCACCTTAAGCAGTGGGTCAGACCCAGGCCCTGTGTCCTCCACTTGCGGAGACTCATTTCTAGCCTTCAGTGATTCTCTTGAAAATCACTCCCCTGCAGTAAGGGAAGGGAGCACCTCCCCTGTTCCTGCCTCCTGGGTAGGAGACCCACTCTGCCCAGAACCATCTTCTTTGAATCTCTTGAACTTCAACGTCTCATGGAGGCCGGAGGTGCGTGATCAACTAATGCAGACAAAACAATTGTGCACTATTCTTTGGCAGTTTCTGCACAGATGGTCCAGCCCCTTGCTCTAGAATGTTCTCTCAATGTTTCTCCCACGGGGTTTTCGAGTTTCTGCTGTAATTGCATGAACAGGAAGAGTCACATTTGCTGTTCTGTAAAATCCCTTTAAAGCCATTAAAACGGATG